TGGTTGTACGCCACGTAGTACGTAGTACGTAGTACGTACTTGTATTGCATGAATGAATTGCTGTGTAGACTATTAGATACCGTTAGTGATGATAGCTCACGTGGATTGTTGATGGTGTAGCGTGTTTGGGTCATTCGATGTGCATGTGTAATTCTATTCGCGTTTATCTGTTTGCGTGAGTATATGCATATCAATGTGTATGTGCGAGCACGGTTGCAGAGCAGGGCAAACAATGAATACAAGGAAGACATTGATATTGTTTTCACACGACAGATATCATACAGTTTATTCACACGCGAATTCTGTATGACATGACGAGCATCAATCATGGTATGCCCCCAGTGCGCAGCAGATAGGCGCGCGTGGCTTGATGTATATTTGCGGAATACGCATAAATATAGTCCTGCGGCTCGATGTTGTAACGCCGGAGGTCGATGCGTAGATGCGAAGACTAAAACATGTGTTATTGCTATGTTTTAATATTGATGTGTTTGTTACTGTATATGCGGAAGAACGAGAATCATGAATGGAAAAAGCGGCCTAACCGTAACCTACCCTAACCCTAACCCAACACATAACCCTAACCTAACCCTACCTGACCCTAACCCTAACCCTAACCCTACAACCCTAACCCTACCCTGACCCTAACCCTACCCCAACCCTAACCCGTAACCCTAACCCTATTCCCTAACCTAACCTAACCCTAACACCTAAACCCTAACCTAACCACACACTACACACACACACGCTACACATCTACACACACACACACACACACACACACACACACACACACACACACACACACTGCACACTACAGGCTACACAGCGGTGCGCGCAGCAGCGGAATTGGCAGCTGGGAGAGGGGGGTGGCACTGTATATGAGTACGGTATGGACCTTTACGCCTGGCCAGCGCGCACCGGCCGCAAGAGAACTGCTGCTGATGCTGTTTTGGCTGCTGCTGGAAGAGGTCGAGCGGGCGGGCGTGCGAATGCATAATATGCCGGCGAGAGGCAGCAGGGTACAGTCAAATAACAATGCGGTGTTTCTAGGCGGTGATTTATGAGTTCTCCCAAAAAGATGGAATAGCAACGGATTTCCAGGTAATTTACTGCGGAGAGCAAGTAATATGAGTCCGTTAATGGCACGCGCAAATATCGACATAGATTTCAGGGCCCTAGCAGCGGAAGGTGACGGGAAATGCTCGCGCGTTGCAATGGTCAGAAACGGCCGAAAACGGACGAGTAGGGTCGCTTGAACGCATTTTTTTCGACACTTCCAGTTAACTCACATCATGTTTATCGGTTGAAATGAACAAAGAACACCCTCACCAGTACCCCTGTCGAGTTTAAAGGGGCTACCCCCACATTTAAGAAAATGACATAGGTTTCAATGGGCTACATGTTCTCTATCCTTGAACCAAAATACCGGTAAAAATGCGAAACAAACACGCGAAAATTCGCGAATGCAGTATGAGGGTATATAGCGCCACCGCGCGGACATTTATTAAAATAATAAATAATTTGTATTTTTTATATTCTTTTGATTTTGTTTTTGTCTAAAATGGTCGCATACCATCTTTCCTGTTTAGACGCATGTATGCTGGATTGAGAATATATATGTGTTTGGGGTGGTGACCTCTTACGAGGGGGGAGAAGATAGACAGACAGACAGACACAAAAACAGGCTCGCCCTTTATGTAACAGATGTGAAATTCATGGTTCTGGGACAAATACCCCCCTACACTCACGTCCGGACAATTATCCCCCGGACAATTACCCCCAGGACAATTACCCCCATGCTATTCACCCCCTGGACAATTACCCCCCGGACAATCACCTCCTAGACAATTACCCCCCTGACATTTACCCCCCGGACAATTACCCCCCGGACATTTACGCCACGGACAATTACCCCCCGGACATTGACTCACTTGTTGTTTATTATTCATTGTTGAACAATGATACAGGGAGGAGGTCGAGGAGGAGGGAAGATGGTGGTGGAGGAGGAGGAGGAGAAGGTGGTGGAGGAGGAGGGGGGAGAAGGTGGAGGAGGAGGAGGAGGAAGAGCGGAGAAGGTGGTGGAGGAGGAGGAGAGGAGGAGGTGGAGGATGAGGAAGAGGGGGAGAAGGTGGAGGAGAGGAGGTGGAGGAGGAGGAAGGGGAGAAGGTGGAGGAGAGGAGGTGACGGAGGAGAAGGAGGGGTGGAGGAGGATGAGGTAGAGAAGGGAGGAGGTAGTGGAGGGCCAGGTGATGGAGGAGGAGGGGAGGTGGTGGAGTAGGAGGAGAGGAAGAGAGGAGGTAGCGGAGGGGAGAAGGTGGTGGAGGAGGAAGAGAGGAGGAGGGGAGAAGGTGGCGGAGGAGGAGGAGGGAAGGGGGGAGAAGGGAGGAAGTAGCGGAGGGTCAGGTGGTGGAGGAGGAGTGGAGAAGGTATTGGATGATGAGGAGAGGAAGAGAAGAGGTGGAGGAGGAGGAGGGGGAGAAGGTGGTGGAGGAAGAGGAGGGGGAGGTAGAGGAGGGCACCTCTACCTCCTCCTCTCCTCCTCCATCACATTCTCCCCTCCTCTTCCTCTTCCCTCAACCACCACCTGCACCTCCTCTACCTCCTCCTCTCCCCCTCCTACTCCTACTCTTCCACTACCTTCTCCGTCGTCCTCTATCTGCTCATCTAAATGTCCAGGGGGTAAATGTCCGGGGGGTAATTGTCCGGGGGGTATTTGTCCTGATACCGTAATTCATATAATATTTGACAATACATGTTGTGTACGGAATGAGAAAGAACGCTTCTGTTGCTTCTTAATCTTTATTGCATCTGTCATTACGCATACAGCGACGCTACGCATATGGTGAATCTAAAACATACAAGATTACCACACTGAGACTCGCGCATACAATAGCAGCTCTGTAATTACACCACTACAAATAATGGTTAAACACTAATAGAAATACATATTGGCCCATTCGGCATATAATTGTAGAAAACAAACTAGCAAACTTACGAACTGTGCACCTGCATTCCATACACAGGTATTAAGTCCTGACTGTGACTCGACAGTGAACGACCACCGTTGGCCTATACAAATAAAATTACACAATATAGTTTCTATCCGATTTGTACTTGAATAGCTTACAAATTATAGGTAACACCTAAATTATACACTCATGTAAATAGTCACAAACATCCTTAATTTATGGCCTAAATTCCTATCAAAGCTCAACACTTAAAAATCCTAATGACAGAATGGCCCACACACAAAGGCTGTCAACTATACCAGCACCAAACCACCCTTAACTCACACATCATCCACTATTTAACACGCAGGCAGATTCCTATACATCCTATAACACCTTAGAAACGATTGTAATATTAGACTGGAGCATAATATTTGCTTTAAACACACAATAACGGAAAATTTACCATCAACGATGAAAGCACATATGTTTCTTCTAACCTGCAATCCTGTAGTGGGGCGTATATGTGACATTTTTTACATAAAGTGTGCAATTCTGGAAAGAAGCATGAAAATTTGCTCTAGAGGGGTTTTAAGTATGCTGAATTCAAAAATTGCGGGAAACACGATGTCACTCCAACGTTTCCCGCCAAAAAATCAAAAATTAAAAATGGCCGCCAGAAAAAATGTTTTTGCCCATAAATCAGCTGTAAGTGTTATGATGTGTTTTATACCCGTTCTATGGGGTGCATTGACCTCAAAAACATATGTATATAGACCAAGATCATGGTACTTGGGGCACTTACAGCTGATTTATGGGCAAAACTGTGTTTTGTGGCGGCCATTTTGAATTTTCAACTTTTTGGCGGGAAGATTACATCTTATGATATTTGACATGTATTTTATTGCATTCTTTGACTTCAAAAAAATAGGTATATACATTAAGAGCATGGTAATCGGGGCACTTACAGCTGATTTATGGGCAAAAACATTTTTTCTGGCGGCCATTTTTAATTTTTGATTTTTTGGCGGTAAACGTTGGAGTGACATCGTGTTTACCGCAATTTTTGAAATCAGCATACTCAAAACCCCCCTAGAGCAAATTTTCATGCTTCTTTCCAGAAGTGCACACCTCAGACACATATCCGCCCCACTACTGCGATCTTCTATCGATTAACACCTAATCCACCCGGTGGCAGCACCGACCAGTCCTGGTTAAGAACCCCATAGGTGGAGCCACTGTATCATAAGCTGCTCGGTACAGGTCAAATTAACATTTAGATCGCTAAATTATTAGAGATTCCAACTACTATTACCGGCAGGCTAAACTGGCGGTAACACACCCCCTCCTTGAATTTACCTAGATTCAACCTAACGTCACATCACTGATCACCAGCCAGAGACCCTTCCAATGGCACCAGCTTGGTGATTGGCCTCCACAAATGAGTGGACTTCGTTCTGAGTCGAACGCTCCGAACCAAGTCATCTGCGCCACGTTTCACTTCCACAACTAACCCTAGGGGCCATGCTCCTCGAGGTGCATCTTCCTCTTTGATCAGCACGACATCACCCACCCGAAGATTCAGCTTCTCTTGCTGCCATCTTGGGCGCCTCTGCAGTTGCGGGAGGTACTCTAGGAGCCACCTCTTCCAAAACAGATCGGCAAGGCACTGGGAGTACCGCCAACGCTTCCGATACATGTCCCGTGAGAAGAACGTACCCGAAGACAATGACGTGTTGTTGTGCAGCAGCAGCAAGTGATTGGGCGTGAGGGGTTCATCGTCATCTGGGTCATCACTACACTTAGTGATTGGCCGGCTGTTTACCAGATTCTCAGCATCACACATAACTGTGCACAGCACATCATCAGTCAATCTGGCATCCCGGTCCAGAATTGTGCACAATACCCGGCGAACTGTGCGTATCATCCTCTCCCATATACCTCCATGATGGGACGCGAGTGGCATTATTAAACTTCCACTCAACTCCACGCCTGTGAGCCGATCGAATGATGTGCCCCTGGTCCAATTGACGCAAGCTACGGGACAATTCATTGTGCGCTCCCATTGTCTGAGAATACTTTAACGGGGCAGCCACGACGTGCTATGAATCGGAAGAACACAGCTAAGAAGGCATCCGTCTCTAGGCTATTCAACACTTCGATGTGCACTGCTCTCACAGTGAGGCGTGTGTACAAGCAACCATACCTTTTTACTTCCAAACGCCCTAATTTCACGTAGAAAGGGCCAAATATGTCCACCCCAACACAGGAAAAGCCAGGGCTGCCTGATTCACCACGCTCCGGTGGAAGATCAGCCATCTTCTGATGGTGTGTTGGTGCATAAAGCTTCTTACATACGACACATGCATGCTTTACTTCCTTCAGTAGGCTTCTGGCTCGTACGATCCAATACTTGTGCCTGAGTCGACTCAGCGACCACTCGGTTCCTAAATGAGCGGCATCATGACACTCTTTGGCAATCATCTTGGAAACTTTATGAGCCGACGACAGGATGACGGGGTGCTTAGCCTCGTAACCCATCCTGGCATGCTTTAGCCTCCCTCCTACCACTAATATCCCACGTGAATTGAGAATAGGATTCAGATTCTTCACGGGACTGGAAGTAGCCACCGCGCCTCGTTCCATCAGCGCTGCGATCTCGGACTTGCAAGTCTGGCCCTGCGCATAGCGAACTACTTGCTCATCAGCTCGAGCTAACTCCGATGCGGTTGTGTGACCGGCTAACTTAGACTTGTCCCCGAGCTCTGCAGAAACTCTCACTCGCATGAGCCAGCTCAGGGCCTTCTTCAGTTTGTAGAAACTATAATAATGTTCAATCAGGGCTTCCATAGGATGCCGGACTGCATTTGCGGTGCTTGCAACTGCCACAGAAACATCCCTTTTCACTTCGGCATCTGTCTCCATCAGATCAACGGATGTCCGCCCATCCGATGGCCAGGTGCTCTTGTACTCCCCGAGGAAGCTTGGGCCACAGAACCAAGATTGAGGAACAGACTCGGCACTACACCCACGTAACAATACGTCCGCAGAGTTTTCCTTTCCCTTTACGTGGCGCCATTGAGCTGGATCATTGTGTTGCCTGATGAGCGACACTCTATTTGCGACAAACGTCTTGAACCTCTTGGCATCATTCTGGATATAGGCCAAGGTTATACGGCTGTCTGTCCAGAAGGTTGACCTAAGCAGTGGCACCTCCATTTCTCTCCTGATGATGCAGTCAAGCTTGGCTCCCACCACAGCAGCAGAAAGTTCTAGTCTGGGAAGGGTGGTGCTACCCTAGCCTTGCTGGCTAGCAGGGCCACACGGACTTTCCCTGCTTGATTTATCATTCTTAGGTAGGAACAGGCTCCATACCCTATTTCGCTGGCGTCACTAAAGTGGTGCAACTCCATCTCACTTCCCCCGAACCCGTCTGGAATGACACACCTCGGAAACTTGAGTTTGGGAACGTCTGCTAAGGATGCTAACCAGGCAATCCATATTTGACTAATACTAGGAGGGACTGTCATATCCCAGGGCAGCTTGAGCTTAGTGACTTCCTGGAATAATATTTTCCCTTGGGAGATGATTGGTGAAACCAAACCAAGTGGATCATACGTCGATGCCAACTGACTCAGCATGAATCTCTTCGTGATGCCTCGTGTTTCTGTGTCCTTACTGACAAAGTAGAAGCAGTCATTCATGACCTCCCACTTGACTCCAAGGGCCTTGCTGCCCATGCTTGCTGTAATTTCCTTGACTTCTTTCGCTCTATCCTTGACATCCACACTTTGTAGGAGCTCGACGTCATTGACCACAAATTTCGTCAAATTAAATCCTCCCAGCACGAGCGCTTGCTTTGTCCCCTGCATGATTTGGACAGCTTCTCCTTTGGTCTTGACAGACTTTAACATGTCATCTACATAGAACGAGCGACGAACAGTGTCCCTGATGTCTTCACTGACGGGAGAATCTTCAATAGTTTTCCGGAGGGCAAAAGTGCTACTGCTTGCCCACCATACACCCCCAAAGAGGTGTGACGTCATCCTAAATTCCACTGTGGCACCGTTCTCATACTGTAACGTTTCAGTTTCTTACTCATAGCTCTCGAAAGCTCGGCTGTGTTATCCGTGATCGCGCGTTCGTGACTACGTATATTATCGGAGGTAACGCGGTGTCGTGATGACAAACAATGAATGCTGAGGATACGTGGTTAGATTACAAACATTTTTACTAGCTTCGACGTCGTACACACATAGCAAGGGGTCCGTGTAGATGACCCGTACGAATACAGAAAGGTGCGCGGAATACAATGTCTAACTTACATCTTAGGTGGATGGTCGGTATTTCTACTAGCACTATTGACGGTACGTCTGTCTTCGTGTGGGCTGCAGAACGAATAGATCGAGCCCTTTCTTTCCGACAAACATTCTTCCTAATCGTGACGCTGACTCCATTGTCTAAGCCCAGCGCTGCTATTGGCCGGTCACGCGTGTCTGCTGGACCCGCGTTTCTAGTGGCCGTTGGCGTGGGTCATGGTCACGCCCTGTTTATGGTCTAACCCATTACGTGCTGCCGCCATTGTTAGCATGTGCGTGTTTCCTAGACAATAGACCTGTCCTATATGTTGTGACCCTGTATTTCACTTGCCCTGCTTCTATTTCTGACTTCTATTTATTATTAATGATATTTCTTCGTTACATTACTCCCCCCATATGACAAGTTGGGAGCCGTAGTAATGCGGTGGACAACTTCCGTAACTGTATTGATGCGTCGACTAAAATACGTTTTTTATGGTATTTTCTCTTATTTTTTTATTTTTTTTTTATGTTTTTTTAATTTTCGCTATTTAAAATTTTCTTTTTATCCTCTCCCTCACCAAAATTGAACATCTTTCACCCTCACATTATATCCCTCACCCAAAATTGAACATTCCTTCCCCCATACACACAAAACACAAAAGGTATAAAAAACAATACACAAATACACATTACCCCTTATTTCCCCCCCCCCAAACGACATACTATCTTTAACCCCCACATTATTTATATATATATCTTTATTTGTTTCAATATTTTAGTAAAATTTTTTTTTAATTTTTTTATTTTGTCTCTAGTAAGCTATAGTATCCGGCTGCCGCCTTCGTTGTTGTCCTCGTCGTCGTGTCCCTTCCTCCGTCGTCGTTCCGTGCTGCGTTGTCCCGTCCGTCCTCCAACGTTGTCGCTCCCGTCCTCCTCCGTCGTCCCGGTGGGTGCTGCGCCGTCGTGGTCTGCGTCGTCCTCCTCTAGTCCCACCGATAAAACCTCGCCGTCTCCTCGTCGTCCTCGTCCTCCTCCTCCCAATCGTCATCGCTGTCGTCGGGCACAATAGGTTGCCCTGGCCGCTGCTGGTTCACCATGGACACGCCCAGCAGCGGCGCCAGTTCTATGGGGACGACAGCGATTGCCGTGTCGTCGTCGTCACGGTGGACGACGGTCCATCCCGGATTGTTCATCCGGTATCTGCGGACATCCGCCCGAAACGCCGCCCAGCTGTCGTAGCTCGTCTGCCTACCCACTGTCGAGGCGAGTCCTGGGTAGATCAGGCGCGGCGTTGGGGGTGGGGGCCCGCCGGTCGGGTAGCGGGAAGCGCCGGGCGTTGCGATCTCCCCGTCGCTCCGGGCTGCCCTTAGGGCCTCCCAATCGATGGGTGGCTGATTGCTAGCCGGCGATTGCGGCCGTGGCACGTACAGTGCCTCAGGGGTGGGAAGGCCGCGCCGCGCCCTCCACGCAAACGAGCCGCCCGACGCGGTCGCACTCTCCTGGTGCTGGTGCGATGCGGCGCCTTCTTCGTCGTCGCTGTAGTAGGTGCTGTGCTGCTCCTCCTGATCGCTGTCTTGCGCGTCTCCGAAACCCATGATCGCTGGCGTGTTGGTATTTACTGCAGGTGCTCAAAAGAGACTAGATTAGTCATACTGTGCGATCTTGCACGTTTATGCACTTTGATATTGGTTATTGGCACGTTGCGAATACCGTGGTCAGACGACAGGGAAATCGACGCAGCTGGAACAGAGAGGAAGGCGCTTTTGCGCAGAACGCGAGCATCAACGCAAGTCATCGAAGCGCAAGCCAGCGGCACGCCCGGGAGACGCCAGTATACAATAAACCACAGGATCCGAGCCAGTAAACAACGACAGGGCGAAGCAGATGGGAGTTCTGCCAGGATATGCCTCCAACCACAATACGCACCTAACACATACAGCGTCACCTGACGGCCACGCGGAGCCATGCGAGGCCAGGGTCATGACGATACGACAGATCGCCTTGCAGCGCCATCTACAAGGAGAAAAGAGCGGCAGGGAGGAAAGCGGAGGCCGCGTAGGATCATTACAGCACCACAAGATCGAGTGGAGGTAGCTACCAGAGATACGCACGCAAGACCAACCGGCAAGGGACAGTGCTGCCATCTTTAGAGGTAGATCTTGCGTAGCAATGTAGGAAGCCATTGTCTGTACAAGATACGTGAGGATTGACATCACTAATGCTCAATTAGGATTTGAGCAAGCTTACTAATTTACATGATTTCCGACGACCTATTGTACAGCCATATTCACAGACCGGCAACAGCGACCACGGAACCTGCGTACAGTTAGTGGTACCCAGCACTACAGACGGTAATAACGGCGTGTACCATCATTGATGTATCTTATAGCTGCTGCATTTAGGCCTTGCGAAACGCATGCGAAAATTATGAGATATTATTGGCCCAAAGCATGTGATTCAACAATAACGATTATGTGAGCAGTTGCAATTATTTGTAAAGTCACGCAATGCTAAACCTATGTGCGTTCACCAATTAGGCAGCGGCACGAATTCGGAGCCGCCATTCGACAGTGTGAGCGGTGGACACTTGCTCAATTTCCGTCTGACGCCACGTGGTAATCGCGGTATTTAATTCACTTTCACGATCTGTATACCAGCTGGCCGGAAATTTTTCCCGTAGCTGATAAATCAGCTCAAACGGTGGCTAACCTGTTTATTAACGAGATAAATCCCCAGACATAGGGTGATCAAGATTCTCTTTCGGGGATATTGCACGGAATTTTGCAATAATATTATGGCATCCAGTCAGGAACATTCGAATAATAGGCCGTCCACCGTGCGCCACCTTACTCATCCAGCTTCTAATGGGTGCAACCTCGTCACCGCTTTCTCACCAGATCCTCGTGTCTCGGCTCATCTAGCCATGTTTGTGGACCGTCACGCAAACATCGTGGGACTTGTTGCTACCACCATTGCTGTTAGCATATCGGTCCGCTATTCATAGCACGTCGCATCATAGCCCTTTCTATTTGTTGTATTGTGTCGCCACCGGTTAAAAAATTACCATGGATAATTTGATTATTACCAGAAGGAAATCCTACGACGAGGAGCCGATGTCACAAGATCACTGTGAGAGATTTCACCATGCATCTGGCGCACATAGCGAAACGGCAACACAAGAAATGAGAACGCATAACAAGAAGCTCTACGACAATAGCTGGAGCAAAGCGTCCAGGAGTTCAGAGTGGGGTGATCGGTTTCTACCACGATCCGGTATTGAAGCCCGAGACAAGTCACAAGGCTCAATAGTGCGTGGAAAGGCGTATTCACAACGGTAACTAAGAAAAGTAACACCAAAGAAATTCTTTGTTGGCAACACGAGACGAACACTTCGAGCAGGTCACCGCGGCTATGTAGATAACGATGAGGCGAGGTATCCAGGTTTACGTTGGACCAACCACGGAGAAGAAGCTCAACGCCGGCGCAAAAAGGAGCCGCAGAGAGAAACGGGAACGAAGCCATGCCTGGTGAGCCACAAGCGGAAGAGCCATCCGGGAGCACGAGGGAAGACAGACCGCCTAGGAACGCGTGTTGCGCAGGGGCCACTAGAAGCAAACGCACGGAACAGGCCGACGTTAGCGTATCCTAGCAGGCGACCAGGGCGCTTATGTCTCAATGTGACGATTTCAGAGTCGGAGGAAGAAGCCATGCCGACAAGACAAAGGTCTTCATCCCAGAGTAGCTATAGCGACAGCGATCTCTTACCGTTAGCGAGGTTAGTAGCACCGCAGTTGCAGTAAACATCTACGTCAAGCGCCCACTTCCAGACGCCCACTTGGAGACGTCCAAGGGCTACGTCAGTGGGAAGGCAAGGCAAGCAACACGCGGAAGGCAAGGATGTCATCCGGAGACATTATG